CTGGCTGGGGAATTCTGGGAGTTGAAGTCCACGCATCTTAAACACTGGAGTAATGGGACCAGACAAAAGCTGGCTGGGGAATTCTGGGAGTTGAAGTCCACGCATCTTAAACACTGGAGTAATGGGACCAGACAAAAGCTGGCTGGGGAATTTTGGGAGTTGAAGTCCACACAGCTTAAAGTAATCAAGGTGGAGAAACACTGCCTTAGGAGGAAATTGAGAAAGTGAATTTGGCAGGTGGGCTAAAAGGCTACTTTCTAGGCACATTTCTCTGTTTTGGACTCGGCCTTAGGGGGCAGAGCCAGCTTTCCACAGATGGGTGCAAGTCTTCTGGTTGGTGAGGCTTACGATGGGCAGCTGGCCTGGACAAACTGCGTTCCTCTGTCATCAGGGGCTGCTCTTTTCGCAGGTTTGGTTCCAGAATCGGAGAGCCAAGTGGCGTCGGCAAGAGAAGATGGAAGCCGACTCGATGAAGCTTCATGACAGTCCCATGCTGTCCTTCAGCAGGCCCCCGATGGTGGCCAACATGGGGGCGATTGGCAGCGCTCTTCCCTTAGACCCATGGCTGACGTCCCCCATCTCCAGCGCCACCACAGTGCACAGCCTCTCAGGATTAATGGGCCCCGGCCAAGCCCTCCAGCCAGCCTACACAGGGCATTCCTTTCTCAATAACCCCCCAGCCCTGCCCCAGAGCATGCAACCGATGGCGCCCGTGGCGTACCAGTGCGCCACGACTTTTGTGGACAAGTACCCCTTGGAGGACATTGACCAGCGGAACTCCAGCATTGCTTCGCTGCGCATGAAAGCGAAGGAACATATTCAGACCATAGACAAAACATGGCAGCCAATTTGATGGCGGGTCAGGCAGCCCTGCCGTAGCAAACACCAACCAGGGTGGGGTGGGACTAGGAGGGTCTCTTACAACCATCAGTGAAAACGTCGCGTAGTTTCTTGTGCAATTGCACTGAGGAGTAACCACAGGAAGCAAGTGCTCTCGGATTCCATTTAGTAGACGTCCGCTATAAAATGGATTTATGTCAGGGAATATGCTAGGTCAGCATCTATAAGGAGGATACTGTCTCTCACCCCAGAGTGGTGGCAGTAGTGGGATTAGCAGGAAAGAATTCTGCACAGAGCATTTGTCCTTTCAGGGCTGCTTAAGTTGTTATTATAGGCCTGTGTGGAATTTGACAGGGAAGTTTGGCAGTCCTTGAAAATCTCTTCCATCCCAAGGTCAAACCTGGAGAGGACCAGGAAGCTCAGCTTTTTGCTTTTTCTACTCAAAGGCAGCCAGGGTGGGGGATCCAAACCAGATTGCCATTCAGAATGGGTGCCCAAGGCCCTCCTTAGGGAGAGACCAGCTTTCTGCTCCGTCTGCTCTTATATTTTGCCCATGTTGTTTGGCTCAGCACCCCTGGAATTTTTTGACCTTAATTCAGCATCTACAGTAGGGTGGGATTTCCACGGTGGGAGAATTAAAAACCAGCCAGCACCAAGAAGCGTGGACTCTTCTCAGGGTTGTTGCGATGGCCGTGATTGTTGTTAGCAAACACCCCTAGTAAGAACAGCAACAAGGCGATGTGTGTAGTTGTTTATCCCTTTTTTAAAAAGAAAAATGCATGCATTTTAAATGGTCCACCAAGGTCAAGTGGAAGCACCCTCCGTGCTGTAGCTAAAAGATGGAGGGGGCATCTTTTCGTGCAGGATGCGATTCCCTGTTTGATCCCTGACAAAAGGGATCAGCGGGATAGGCCAGGGTGGTCCCTGATTTGAAAGATCTGTTGGAATCAGTGTGGCTGCGAGAGTCAGGAAAGAAATTAGACTGGGAGAAAGGCTTTTGCTCCATGGGAGAAGGGGACGAGGAGGTGACCTGGTGCTCCTGTGGTCTCGTGGTGGGAGGAGAGTTGGTGGCCTTGGGCGGACTTTCTTCTGAGGAAAGAGGTCAGCCGGTGGGCTTTGGATGGTACCCCGGAGTGGGGCTGTTCCCCAGGTTATCGGTTTAATACCAGCATGATAGTGGGGGGGGGGGGGGGGGGGGGGGGGGGGGGGGGGGGGGGGGGGGGGGGGGGG